AAACCTACTTATATATGAATTTGAGATGAAAATGCTAGGAAAAATAACTTTGTGCATTGGTCTTCAGATTATGCATCTTACAGATGGTAGCATTTTTTTCTACCAACTAACGTATATTAGACAAATTTTGCAAAGATTTAATATCATTGATGCTTATCCATTGTCCACACCAATGGTTGGATGTGGTCATGATGGTCTTGAGCATCTCACTTGCATATTAATATCATTTTATATCCCACATGGCGAGATGTAAGAGTGTCTACAATTTGACCAAAGACTTTCTTCTTACGCAAAGAGGCATACTCCTCCTCAATAGCAGTTTTCCATTTTGACCAATCTAAGCAACGTATCGCTTCTTTGATGGTTTGAGATTCACGATCGTCTTCTTCGCAAGAAAGGGCTTCTATAATCATATATGCAAATGATTCATCTACTGTAATAGATGGTTTGTCCCAAATATCATCTGTAGCACAATACAGAATAGATAATTCTTTACTCAACTTATTCTTATTCCTTCCAATTCCAAGATTGTTTTTCATAGGAATTGAAGATACATTATGTATGGATATATCATCATGAATTGGTAGTCTTACAAGATGAGTGGCAATTTCTTGAGAAATAATACCAGGATTAGTTAATTTTATAGCTTTCTTCTTACATGGTTGCTTATTTGGTCCACGAGTTCTTTTAGTTGTTGTTGTTATAACTTGAGGTATTGTAGTCAATGGCACTACAATTTGAGCAGGTGCATTCTGAGCCTCATTAATAGGAACTCTTGTAATTCTAGGTGCATCATTGAAGCCATTAGGTGTTTCATCCGTGTTCCATTTTAAATGCAAAATCTTAGCAACTTCATTTTCTACCAAAGATGTCCTAGGATTGGGATTCATTGTAAACATTTCTAGTGCTTCAAATATGAGTACTTTATTTCTTTATTGATTGGATACTCCTCCTTGAAGAGATGGGAATACAGTTTCTTCAAAACGGCAATTTTGCAAACATGCGCATAATAATGTGTCAGTTGATGGATCAACAATACAAATAATGCTTGGTGAATCAAAACCAACATATATGCCTTCTTGTCAATGAGTTCCAATGGTACGCCATTGATATTCTAGTACTAGAATCCAAGCATGGCAACCAAATACTCGTAAGTGAGATACATTTAGAACATGACCTGAAATGAGCTCATGTGGTGAAACAATTTCAAGAGAAGAAGGGCGGAGGCGTATTAATACTGCAGCATGTAAAATTACATGACCCCACATAGATGCAAGTAGATTTGCGTGAAGGAGGAGTGGCTGCGTAATGAGTTGTATATGCTTTATAAATGACTTTGCAAGTCCATTTTGAGCATGTTCATATAGAATACAATATGTCAACTCGATTCCTGTTGCAGTACAATAGTCTTCAAAAGACTTTGATGCAAATTCTTTTGCATTATCCATACGCAATATTTTTATAAGATAATCAAGAAAATGTGCCCAAAAGTGAATAAGTATAGATATAAGATTGGTAAACACCATGTTTCGAGTTGATAATAATGAAACATGTGATTGTTTACCTGATGCATCAATAACAACCAAAAAATAACGAAATGGTCATGATATTGGATTAATAGGACCACAAATATCACCATGCAATCTTTCAAGCATTAGTGGTAATTCTTGTGGAATTTTTCAAATTGAAGGCCGAGTAATCATTTTACCTTGCACGCATGCACGACATAATTCCATAGAGTCTACATCTGCAAGCTTTAAATTGTGCCCAGTTATACATGGAATGATCTTTCTAAATAATGTGGATCCTGGATGTCCCAATCGTCCATGCCGGAGAGAAACACGACTCTTTGAGATAGATGATGTAAAATTAAATATAATAGGAGGCTGAATCACAATTCGGTATAAACTATTTTCTGTAGCAAAAGCTTTTTCAACAACTTTATGGTTCTTCGCAAGAACCAAAACCTCTTTTCTATTTAAAGTGGCGGTCGAGAGGTGATAACCATTAATACGCACATCTCGATAGCTGATCAGACTTCGAGGTACTGAGGGTGCAAACATTGCATGTTTACATTTTATGATGGAATCCTCAAGTAATTTTACTATCGCTGTGCCCTCTTAGAAACAAAATGCATTTGCTCCAGCCATAGTCATCATATTTTTAGTTTGCCAAGTTGAAGATTTTTCAATAAAAAATCGTCTGTCTCGCAAGATAGTATGTGTTATTGCTGAATCAATGAGCGCATCATTTGATTCATCATTAGAGGTTCTATCATTCATATAAGCCTCTAAGTCATCAACACCAATTGAATCCATGGACGCATCCATGGTATGAACTTCATGAGCCTCAGCTCATAATTTCTTATTTTTTTGGAATATTTTAATAAAATATTCTAAAGTACGGCACGCATGTGCTAAATGTCCAATCATTCCACACTTATGGCAAGAACGCATCTCTGATTTTTGTTTTTTACTATAATTAATAGTAGAATGTTTATTCTTTCCATATGGATAGAAATGGTCTTGACTATAACTACCTTGATACTTATGAGCACGTTTTCCATATTTATATAATTTCTTCTTAGACTTTGAAATATTAAGTGCATGAGATTCTGGAACTGTAGTTCCAATAGGACGAGCTTCTGCATTGTGTAAGAGTAGTTGATTTTGCTTCTCCGCAAGAAGTAGATAGGACATGAGATCAGAATGACTCTGAAATTTCATGTTCATGTATTGTTGTACAAGCACAGCACATGCAAGAGGAAATATAGAGAGAGTTTTTTCAATCATTTCTTCTTCAGAAATGCTTTATCCACATAATCGTAATTGTGAGACAATACTATACATTTCACTATTGAAAGCATTTAAATTTGGAAAATCCAAAATATGTAAATGTGTCCAATTATGATGTGCACGTGGAAGAAAAATGGTCTTTTGATAATCAAACCTAGATTTAAGTTTCTTCCAAAGTTCTGCAAGGTCTTCCATTTCCAAATATTGATGTTGTAATGCAGGTACAAGATGACAACGAAGGAGAAGAAGTGCTTTCCAACGAATAGCAGGAGATATAAATATACTTGTTGTAGGAGATTCTTCAAACATAATGGCATCCGAGAGTTGTTCTGCAAATAAATTTGCTTTTGCCATTTTTGTCCATAATAGATAATTGTTTCCATCCACAGTCAATGGTGGAAATAAAAGAGCTTGAAAATATTGGGATGCACTCGTAATAGTTGGAACCATAGTAGAAGCAGTTAAAGATGTTGAAGCACTCATTATAAATAAATCTGTAAAGAAAATACAAGATCAAGTAGAAAAGTTGAATAAATCGTATCTTAAAATATAAAGTGAAATAAAATGATAAACTTGAACTTGAAAAAATAAAAATATATAATTTTTTTTTATTTTTTTATTTTTTTTTAAAGAGAGAGTTGTAGATTAAGACAGCAGAACAGCAATAAGATGGCAGCAACAGGCAGTGGTAGGGCGGTAGGGTGGCAGCGGAGGGCGGCGGCAGGCAACGGCAGGTGGCGGCGGGCAGCAGCGAATAGCGGTATTAGGGCGGCGACGACGGCGAGCGGTAGTGGCAGCGACGACAAGGTAGCAGTGGCAGATTCGGCAGTTGTTCGAAGGCAGGCGCGGGGCACAGGAGGGAGCAGGGAGCAGAGAGCAAGCAGAGGGTGGAGTTGGGCTTAATCAAGTATTCAGAGCAAGCAAGGCAGAGAGTGGAACAAGTGCTCTAAGCAAGCACCTAATGTGTGAGGGACCAACAAGAAGAACAAGATCATGAAGTAGACACTGAGTAAGGGTAGCAACAGGTTTGAAGAGTCAAAGACTAGAGCAAAAAATTGTGATAGTGCGTAGAAGAGAATCGTGCTAATAACGTATTGAGAATATTTAGAAAGGCACAAGAGTAATAGTAAGTCATACACACACACAAGAGTAGTAGTAAGTCATACACACAAGAGGGTTTCTGAAGAGAGAGAGCTTCACACACACAAATCTATTGATCTAGTTGTGTCTCGTATACAAGAAGAGAAAAGAAGAGAGGATAAACAATACTTCTCCACTAGACTCTAAATACTGTAGCTATGGTAATTACTATAGTCTATAGTAAATATTATGGAGAGCACCAGCTACATTTAATGATCTCAACAATAATCAAATATACTCATTTTCTTTGTTTTTCTTTTAGAAAAGACTAAAAAAATGGAAAAAGATTTCTAAAAGAAGAGAGAAGAAACATCCATTTCAGAACCACGAATTTATGTCATTGTCAATTCACAACAAAATCAGTCATATAAACATCATCCTCAAAAAACAATACAAAATAAAACAAAAAGAAGCAAGTGATTCTGTCGAAATAATATATTTTTTAGAATCGCACAATTGCTTTGTTGAACTATCAGTTAATATTTCAAGCACACGACGATCTGAAGGAGCAAACATGGAGGAGGAAACTTGCTTCGCTAAACCCTAAACCCTGAAACCTTTCTGGATGCTATCGTTTCCATCTCCCGGTTGAATTCGCGTACTCTCTGGGGCCAGCGTCGTTGCTGTATCCGTCGAATTGATTCCCGAGAGAACAGAAAACCCGCATGGGTTGGTAATACCACGCCTGGATTTGTACCAGATTACGGTCTTACGGTGTGCGTTCTACGAGAGATTTGATATGCAACAACTTGGATATACCCTGGATGTAAAGAGGTTACTTGGAGCCCACGTTGCTATTTGTTGAGCTAGTAGCTGAGGAGTTTTGACCACTGACCGAGCAGTTTAAAATTGCAAAATTTAAATATAGAGAAATGGTGGACTTCTTCAACTTGGCGCGGGCCACACATGTGCTCATCATTTAATCTGGTCACGTGGAATGTGTAGAAGTTGGCCAGGACATGGCCCCTGCTATGAATTGCGAACTCGTGACCGACACTGTCCTGGAAGATCTAACAGTAAACCCAAATCAACTCAAGGACGACCAACACCTTGATTATCGTGTTATACGGAGAAATTGGTGCATCGAAGAAGCTTTTTGTGTATCGATTTCTTATGTGCACAACAGTTTTCCAAAAATCAATAATAATTTTAAATTTTGCAAGCAAAAACTTGCCCCGTACTCTTCGGGAGACTCATTGAGATACTCTAGTGGGCGGTCCCCCAGGTGACTGCAAAGGCAACCCTAAATTGGAGGGTTTCAAGCCAAAGGTACATGAGGGGCTCGTGCCTGGAGCACTCAGCAAACCATACTGACCCGGTGATATGATAGGCCTAGTGAATCGAGGAGCTCCACCTTCTTGTTCATTCCGCTGAACTGATGCCGCAACACACATTTCTGAGTGTGAAATATCATTGGAATACTGACTAGCTGCAAGACACGCATGTTGCGACGTATGAGTAAAGGAGCTCCAAGACATGGTCCACGGATGTCAAAGAAAGAAAAATAAATAAATAAAAAGTCTAATTGCATATGTCTATCTCTCTGACTGCATGAGAAAAGAACCAAGAACCATACCTCGCCGATTGCCTACTGAAATTATTCTTCTTAAACAATCTCGGTATGCCAAAAGAATTGCTTGCTCTTGCTCAGCATGCAGAAGGGCTGCATGCGAGGAACCACAAGTGCCTATGTCTTCTGCTGCTAAGCCTCCTATTGGAGAAGGAGGGGCAGTAAACAACGGGTCCTTCTCGTCACACATCAATGCTAGAGTTCCCGGAGACGTAGGTCTTTGTGGCCCATCAGCGTCTCCATCGTCAGGACCCGTGGCTGGTGCTGCCCGGTCACTGGATAACTTCTCAGCTTTGTGTTCATGGTTCCTTTCATCGACTTTCGTAGCCGTCGGTGAAGGTTCCAATGAAGCGCGAGTCTCACCATTTACTCTCAGCCTTCTTGTATCTGGTAACGAATGTTTAGCTGCCACAGAGCAGAGTAACACTCAGAAAAAGAAAAAGAAGAAAATCCTATGTACGAACTTGTAAAAGTAAGGCGCACGAGTAGGTCTACTTGATAAGCTGAAGCACCAAATGGTTGTTACCCAACACGAGTTAAAACAGCACATGCACTCAGAATAACGTTTTTAAGCAAATGATAAGTACGATGCCTTTTTGTACAGCTGCAACCAACTGCTACCACCGGATAAGGTCTGTCAAGCACTGTCGAGGTGCTATTGGTGGCAAAAACTTAGAGCAACATACCTAAAAAATCCTTTTGAGCTTCAGAAGAAACGACTACAAGAAGCTTGCACAATTCTTGGATGGCATCAATCTGTACAACGCCTGCCAGTAATGACCTACAGCACAGGAAACAGCTTAGAAACCAGGAAAATAATACCTTGTTTAAAAAAAATCCAAAAAAAAACTTCTCCGTTCACCACTTGTTCCCAACTAACCCAGAATTATTTACTCGGCTACATGGGCCATGATGAAGCAAATGAATTTCTAATGCCACCATAGCCTTCTGCATTCTGATGCCACCATTCTAGCGATATGAAGACATATGCCGTCGCACACGAACGCAAATCAGCACACATATATCTCCTAAAAGTCAGCCTAAGTATTGTCCCACCTAGAACAATCTACATTGGACAGAATAAAATTCAGAGGAGGTACTTGTGAATTAGCTTGACTGGTGGAACAGCCGGTGAGACTCCTTGATTTGCAGGTGTGGAGTCGATTGTAGAACTCAGTGCGAGGCTCAGAGAGGGAGCGGTTGTAATCCCCGGTGTTAACTGCGAAAACTCAAGAATAAAACATAAGACAGTAGAAAGGTTGTGAAAAAAAATGAATGCCAAAACGTATGCGTTGGTAAAGGTTTAAAAGGATGTAGCAGGCATACGTATCTAATAAGGCCTAAATGAGGGAACATTCAACCTGCAGTCAAGGTATGAGAAGAAAGGATCCGATGCAGGAATCAATTGTAGATGATAAATGACCAGTCTTTGCTAGCACTTCAAAAAAATTCAAACAAACAAGTCATTGAAAAGCTAAGGACATCTCGTACCTGCAATGGCAAAGAAGATGTCTTTTTAAGCGGAACCTGCTCCTTCAAACCAGGTCCAGAAAATACTAGCTCATGAGTTCGTCTCTTCTTCAGCAGAGGGGAGGGAGACAAATATGCGGGCGCATTAGGTGAAACTCCATTGCCACCCAACGGCTGCAGAAAATTCAAGCTCATATTGTGGTCTCCTTGAAACAAAGCTCGTCTCTCCTCACTCCCATCAAAATTTTTGCAGTCAACACATTTGCAATTGTCAGAACATAGAATATTAGCTTGGAAGCATTCGCAATACTTCTTGAGGCACCCGGATTTCTTGCAATGACATCCTTTGTTGTGTTTACCCGCCAATGGATGCTCTCCAGCATCCTCCTGCAATAATAAAGTTCTATTAGTTCCGAAATCCACTGACCCAGATTGAGGGGAAATGTCCATAAAAAAGGAACACCTTGGTACTACAGAAAATACATGAATATCATAATACAAACATTGAAATGGGTTTCCTCAAAACACAGGTAATTAAAATAGTTTGATGTATAACTAATTCATCTAGAATTTATTCTTTAATATTCTCAAACTGCCGAATAATAAAATAAAATAAAAATAGCCAACGTACCCTCAAGTCTCGCATACCAGGACTGCTAAATATCTTAGGTCGAAATGCATTAGGATTTCGCTCTAAGGTGGCTTCTACCGCTTCCTGACGCACGGTTTCATTCTCTACATTGTTGCAGCAGTTGACACAGTTGCAACCTTCACAATATGTACCTGAGGCAAAACATTCACAGTACCTGTTGCATCCACATATTCATGTTACTCATGATTAGAAAGCCGCTCACGTTGCTTTCTTATTCTTAAATCAGTATGAGGTAGCTGTTGCATTATGAAGATCCCAGACAACCAGTTATTCAAAGAGGTACAAGAATGATAAGAACATCAAATCGCTAGGGTAAGGTGAGAGGCCATCTTATGATAAGCAGACATGTATATTCAAATAAAGCAAGGCGTGCTTACAGTTTCAGGCAACGAGAGTTTTTGCAATTACATTGCTTGCACTTCTTCGGCGTGCCATCCTTTGAATCGAAGGACCTTGAACGTTGTCTTGGAGACCCGTGCTTTCTGCGCACCAGTAATGCGGAAACGCATGCGTGAGATTAGCATGGAGAAAATACTTATCTCTAGATGAAGCTTGCAAGGCTAGGCAATGCATATCCATGAGTCCACCCACATGGAACCAGATTCAAATGCATCGTTCACCTAACAATTTCTTGACAATATAAACACAACAGGTTTGTTTCAAGAGCAAGCAATAAGTCGAGAGTAAGAACCAAGAGATAAACGAATGCTTAGCGTTTCTAATTAGTGATTAGTGTGTAGTAGGAAAACATGAGAACCATATTATTACTTAAATCAATATACAAAAGAAGTTTAGTACCGTACAAAGAAGGTTGGGGTGTGCGGACAGAGTTCTCTTGTGGCCCAGCAGGGTCTCCATACATAGTTGTAAAATCGAGCTGCCTCGGTACAGCTTTTCTTGTGGGATGTTCTCCCACTTGAGAGGTTTGAGGTGTTGAAACTGCCATAATTACGTGTGACGGATCAACGTCCATCGGTCGTACAGCATGCCTGCAAATCATGATAACCATGACAACGGCACAACATGCACTTACTTGTTAAGAGATGCTTGAACCCATCCACGAACACATTACGTGTAGATCAACAATAGGAATACCAAAGCACCTACTAATGATGAGCTTGATCGCTACGTCAATATCAAGCTAGTGCCAAGCGACATCAGTCATCGCGTAGGTTCATATCACCGAAATGATTAATGAGAATCAAAAAACAACGCAAGAGTTAGTCTTCGCAGTCACGAGAGCAAAATATTTGTTTAAAGGTTCCTCAATATCTAAACGTAATCCAAAAGAATCAGTTGGAGCGTACTGAAATCATATGTCAGTCTTACCTTGGGAGCCCCAGGGACACCGGTGTATATATCAACGGCTGGCTTTTCGCTTGCTGAGGAACAGCTTCAGTAACAACAGGTGGCTGGTTTCCTGGCGCCACACTCCCTGCAGAGAGGAAGCTGATCTTTATCCACAAGGAAAGCTAGGGCATTGTAGAAATATAAAACGTGTGTAGCCCATAACGTTCCTTGGAATATCCATTTCTCCTTCGCAGGTGCGTATTTCCTTGAAAATATCTACGATCCTAGCATGCTTAAAATTTTACCAAAGCTGTGCGTCCTGCAAATGAACTGGCTATGCGACACACTTGAAAATTTATGTGCATACGCAAGTTGGCCAGAGAAAGGAGACTGCAGTAAAAGGGAACTCTAGGCAAAAGAAAGACTTCGATTAATACGAACTACGATTGCCAAATAGTGCCGCGACAGTTTCAATCGGAGTTGCCAAAGTATCTACTATTGATGTATAAATTCGGTGCACTACATCCATCCATCCACGTCATTTCTTAAGATACTCTACAAGACCGCACTGTTGATTTTCTTTGTAAAGCTACTGCTCAGTATTTCGGGACAAAGTTACCTTGCAGCAGCCAGAAATGAGCAATGTGGCTCAAGAATAGCGGACTCTCCAGGACTTCCTGATGACTAAGAAATTTCTATTACAGACAACAGAAAGAATTGAAAGGCAAAAATTAAATTGTAGTTCGTGAAGCCTTGCTACAGTTCATGAACGTAAATTTAGCGTTCTTACCGCTGAGTAAAGCTTAATTTCATGTGGTTGTTTCATGCAAGCAATCGCTTTTTTGGTCAGAAAAGGGTCTAAGATCAGTAAAGATATTGGCAAACTTTTAAACCACACGCAAAAATCGGACTGCAAGTAACAAAGAGTAATCACTCATACCTGGTGTTGTAGTAGAAGCTTGAGTTGGGGCTGCAGTTGGAGCTTCTATCACAGGAGTATCAGACACATCCATGACCGTCAGTTTTGGAGTATCACCCTTGGTGAAGATGCTGTGATCACCCTCCACCTACGCATAAATGCACAAAAATCCTAACAGCGGTGACCCACGTCCCCCCTTTTTTCAAAACCGATATCCTTCTTACTCTTCCTAAATCTATTATTCCTACATCTTTCGTGACAATTCAGATTGCTGCAACACCCTGCAACCGCGACTCCTTCACATTCTCCCCTGTGCACTTCGGTCTCATCGCACCCCAATTGAATTTCGTGATCAAGCTCCACATCACATTCTCTAAAACCTTAAACCACACACCCCAGCTAAATTACCCAGAAGCAACACCAACCCACGTTTCAAAAAACACTCAAAAACCACCGACACTTGCGCACCCAAAAAAAAAAAAAAAAAAAACGACTTGGACAATTCTAAGCCCCTCTCTCCAGAACTTACTCATGAATCTCCTCGCAACCCCATATCGGCCAAATCAACAAACCCTAAGCAAACCCAACACCTAGTTACCCCGAATTCCCATTCACAAAATAAAATGAAATTCCTCCCCGCCTTCACGCCCTTACACCGACACGCCGCACCGGAGACAAAACTCCCAAAATGTTCGACCGAATCGTGGTCCCTGCCATGAACGAGAGGAAAAAAGAGCGCGTGGCTGCGACGAGAACAGCGGGAAATTGGCTGGATACGTAGGAATCACGAGAGAGCACAAGAGAAGAGGCTCATATTGGCTCGCTCGGTGCAGGCTTCTTCTTCTTCATCATCGCCCCGAACGAGGCCAACCCCAAGGGTGGTTTTGAACTTCTGACCCGAAATTTCAAAAGTAAGGGAGATTCGGGGGTCGGGGAACCCGGCCCGCGATTTGCGGCCCCGTGAATATACTCAGGAAGTTTCTATTAACTAGGGCTTCCCCCATGCTTTTGCATTAGAAAGGGGGAGGGGGAGTTTGAATATGAAAGTTTTTTATAATGATAATTTTGGGTCCAATGGGAGGGAGGGGCAGTGGCTTTGTGGGTCGGTTCTCATGTCTCAATTACACTCTGCTCCAAAATCTACAAAAATAATTTTATTATATATATATATATATATATATATATATAATTCAGAGGAATGTTAAATAGACCCATGTTTTTACTAAATAGACCCACCCTTGATGAAGAATATGGTATATAGATCCAATAATGAGAAAATGAATCTAGAAATTTTCATGATGGTTAAGATGGGTGGGTCAATTTAGTAAAAACTTGGGTCTATTTAACATTCCTTAATATAAAAAACTTAAAAAATCAGTTTTTGTGAATGTGTTTTGAATCCTCTCAATGTTGGTTTCATTGTTTTTGCATTGGGTTGTCAAGCTTCAATAATTAAAAAAAATTAAGCAGTGTTTAAAATTAATATATGGAGGAACAACTTTAATAACCCACATCCTGAATTGGGCTTTTAATTATTATTTTGAAGTTTGTAAAATGAGGGAATTTGGTTTAGGTACTTTGGACCCATATACTTGAATTCATTGAACAACAATGTTTCTAAGATATTTATATAAATGCTCAAAATAATGTAAATTGATTATACTTTCAAAATATTTTTATTTTATTTTTAGGTTAAATTTCTTAAATTTTATTGAATTTTTATAATATTCTATTTTAGATGTATTATTATTCTATGACCAGCATTATAAATTTCACATTGTAGATCTTTTGCTATGGATTTGGTGCTTCTTACAAGAATATATACTCAACATGAGGGAGATGATTTAGCAAGATTTGAATACACAAGTTGGAAGAAACCAGATTTTGAGCAAATTTTAGATCTTTAAAATTATAAATTATTGGCAAAGTCTTGAACATAACAACAAATAAATGAATGAATTGTATTGAAATTAAATTTCTGATCAAACACACTCCCTAGTAAAACAATACTTTCAAACTAAGGCAAAGACTGAAACAATAATTTTTACTTTTCAAAAATTAGCACATAGATAAATTTCCATTTTCACAACCAACTAACCCTGAGTGTTTCTAATCTGTAAGAAGTAGTTCGTCTGTGAAACTTCTGTTTTATTTTTGACTAAACATATTAGTTGTTGTCTCAAAAGTCTTTACTAAAAGCAATTTTTGAGCTATAAAACCCTCTGCATAAGAAATCTGGTTTTGTTTTTTGAACGATTCTGATAAGTGTCGGTGAAGTTTGGTCACAAACCATCCTATCCATCTCAGCAACCACAATAGAAAATTAGGGGCTTACGGCGGAGGTCACGACAAATTTTGATAACACCATTGCAACACCTCAATCATGGTCTGAAACTCCTCTAATTTAGGTTCAGTGTTCAAGGCAACTCAAAACACTCATTCACTTAAAAGCCAAGGTTGACAGAATTATAAGCTGGAGTTGCAACTAACAAATCACTGTACCATTTCACTAATGCCACTAGCATTTCCTGCAATGCTTCCGCCACCATGAGAACCATTGACCGGGTGAGGATGTGTGAAAGTTAGCAACAATAACTCGACAAAATATCAATTGGGCATGTGTACTTAATGCAGTCACTTGATTCGTCACATAAGTAGTTCTAAATTTCAAATGCCAACAGCTTAAATCGACAAAAACATGTAAGATCTTGAAACATATAGTCGAACATATCACTTCTCAAACGTGACGTCTGGAATTGTCAGTCTTCAATGCATAAAAATACCGAATTTCCAAATGCAACCTTCTGATCTAAAGAGGAAAAGATAAATAGAAAAGACATACAAACTATTCACGTGAAGTAAAGTCAAAACCCATGTGCGCAAAATAAGCATATCCTGAAAGTCCGGAAAATCCTGATCATGTTTCGCTGGCGTTCAATTAAGCTAATTAACCCTAAATAATCAAAAGTACTTGAGGACACTTTACAATAAGAGTTGAAATCAATGTGATAAAATGATAATATGTAAAATTCCTTCCTCCCGTCGGTAGAGTTTGAAAACTTTGTTTTTAGCATCGAAAAAACAAAGCCTGACATGGCCACAGCATCGTATACCAATTTTTCCCCCCAAGCGACTCTCAAGCCTCCTCTAGGCTGTAAGTATGCTCTACCTCGACTCCAGCTGTATAACAGCCCTAATCCACTGCACAAATCTGTAACAAATCACTACAGGCTGCTGCACTTTGATGGCAAAAAAATAAATAAAAAACCAATCAATTATCCATAGCATCAGAATGACTACAATGTAGTGAAATCAGTTTCGGATATGTGCTATTGTGCCAAAAAAATATTTCTATGTCTGCCTTAGACAGCAAGGCTGTTTCAAGTGAAAGGCTCGCAGGAAATCTCTAATCAAATACAAATTCTGTCCACGCTCTTGCAAAATTCAATGGAATCAGAACATAAGCCAGAAGGTCGTGCCACATTGAGCGCAATGAAACCTTGACTAAAAACATGTACATATTTCCTTCTCTGTATTGGCTGAAAGCTGCCAAGAGACTCCTGAGAATTTAGAGTTAAGAGACTGGAAAGGGAACCTCATCCTCAACCTGAATCTAAGCGCTGTCACCTCGTTTCTTGGCAAAATAAGAGTCAGCACGTGATTGGTTCTTAAGGTATTGAGCAGACAGCCATTTCTTCTTCTTAGGCAGAATTTCAAATTCACATCCCAGGCTCTCCAATTTTTCTCTAGCGGCAGAAGAAATAGCCCCAGCCTTGACCTTCACCTTAAAGTCAAGCTCACCATCACCAAGAATCTTCAACGGCAGCTTGCGGTCGCGACCAGAGGGGTTCAAAACACGCCTTTCCTTCAAAGCTTCAAGTGAAACCTCTTCGCCTTCTTCGAAACTCGCAGCAATATCGGTTAAATTCACAGCCACGTACTTGGGCAAACCAGCTCCCATACCGCCCGCAATTCCCCGCAGCTTGGGCAACCTACGGTACAAGGGCATTTGACCTCCTTCGAATCCAGGCCTCACACCCGACCCGGACCTCGACTTCTGCCCTCGCATACCGAAACCGCAACTGGCCCCTTGCCCTGCCGCAATACCACGCCCCTTCCTCTTCTGCCTGTGCCTACTCCCAGGCTGCGGCGACAAATTGTTCAACCTAAACCGTTGGTCTACTTCATTTTCCTCCTCCACCACCTTCGTGGGCTTCCTCCCGTTCGCCACCACTGATAACTCTTTCCTCGCAACCCTAACTACGCCCACGCATCCCGACACTCTCCGCAACGACACGGCCCCACTCAGGAACGAATTCCGCAATACATTTCCAGTCACTACTGCACCAGATCTCTGCGACAACAGACTGGACATCATCGAGACCGCCATGGGCGTGGCGAGAGCGGCCATGGCCAATGCCGATGATCGCTACTCCTCGCTAAAATGCAAATTGAGCTCGTGCAGGATACTCGCCCTACAATACAAAGCTCACGATGGAGAGACCATGAAACCTTCACAATCAGATGTTGAAATCGAACTCGGGAACCCATGCCCGCGGGAACCTCGCCCTTCGCCGCGTCCTCGTTCATTTGTAGATAAGATGATGGTTTGCAGATGGATGAATTTAAGAATGGATGTATGGCTGGGTTTTCAGGTCCGCTTTCGTGCAGGATCTCGATCCATAAATATGATGATCTCGATTCAGGTCTCTATCGAAGTCTGGATAATTTAGTTGTTAGTGAGGAGCAAGGACTACTTCGGTAAAACTTGTATTAACACGGATAATAATAATGATAAAGCATTATAATATCAAAGATTATAAATTGCAGAGAACTAATTGCAGAGAAATAATTACAGAATATATATATATATATATATATATATATATATATGTGTGTGTGTGTGTGTGTGTGTGTGTGTCTATATATATATATATATAATTTGAAGCTTGAAAAGTATTTGTAAAATTGCAAGAGTGCTCAAATATGTTTTATTTATTTTTCATATTTTTCAAGTTTTAAGTTGTGATCTGATGAAGTAATAAATAATAGTAGAATAATAAAATTTAGGAAATGTGGATTTTGATTTTTTTTAAATTAAAAATATATTGTTAGCTTCGGCTAATGATTTATTTTATATCATTCAAGAACAGATTTTCAAAAAAAATCATGATTATTAACTTAATTCAGAATGATTTTACATTGATGTATCTGATTAAGGAATAATTATTTTTAGATAGTAATGTAGTAACAATGTTGCATTTTACTCATTTAAAATGTATAATTTGCAGATTTGACATGTGCTGCTAAATTCCAAGGATTATTTTTGCATAGTTTCTTTTAAAGAATTGAAATCAATGTATACATTGAGATGTTCATTATTATTGAAATACAATATCAAGTATTAGTATTGTAATTACTAATTGAATTACAAATTGAAATACTGAGATTTAATTATTTACAATATTAATACTTGATATTGAATGGAAAAAGAAAATAGAAACACACACACACACACACACACACACTTATTCAAAAACCTTATATCATCAAAAATGTTTAATTCAAAATGATGATGTTATGTAATTGATTGAAAAGCAACATAATCTTCAAAATTAAATTTTGAATTCATATATTAAAAATGATATTGTTTAATATTTGATCTCAAACACAACTCAAAATAACACTCACAACCATGATTGTTTTGTTCCTTAAATTCATACCATATAATATGGATTCTTTCTTCTTCATTTTTTTCTTTCATTTTGTCTTTTTTACAACTCCTAAATATTTTTTGAAAAAAGAAAAAGAAAAAGAAAAAGTGTTGCACTCTCAAAAATTGGCCCTTTGGACTGTTTCATGATTGATTATGACATGTGGAATGCAATCTTGAATAAGTGGATGTTTTTGAATTTGATTTTTCTTTTAAGATGAAAGATAAGTATGGGTTTTTAAAGACATGTAGATATATTTTGTGTGATAGTGATATATGTTTCTCAATAGCATTGTTGGGGCAACAGTGCCTTAGTACCAAAAGGGGGGATTAGACTTAGAGGCCATCAATGAGATGCATTGGCATGACATACAATGCCGCCCACAGATTTTGCATTAAGAATTGATTTCACACACACACACACTATTGGACAGGCCCATCTTGTCACCAGAGACAAAGATCCTAGTGAATATGACACTAGTTGTAGTGATTAATTAATTGCATCTACTATGTAGCACCCACCCTCTGCAATTCTCAATATGAATCATGCTCACAGCTTCACACGAAGAGGTAGAATTGAATGGAGCTGAAGAGATCAGATTCCAGCCCTGATTCCGTGTAGAATGGTCGTGGCGAGGTGAGGCGATTCCCTGTTTTTCTTCCTCGAAATGCACGTGTTCCCAAACGTTCCCAATGGAGTTCTCTGGTTCCAGTTGGTGTCCCGCGACTGGGGACGCTTTTTCCCACGATTCGGAAGGATCTTGGGGGACTGGAGAGCGTGGGTGACGTGAACTCGGGCATCCGGGCATTCGGGCAGCAGAAGTACGAAAAAACAAAGTTTGCAGAAGGAGGAGCGGCGCCAACCTCTTTCAATTTCATTCCAAGAAAAGGAGACGCCACCGCTATTGTTGCCCTGTTGATTGTCGAGCTGTACACACGGCCTTTCTGTTGATCGATTCATGTAAGAGGCACAGGATCAGCTGCGTGAAGTGTCTTGCATTTCATTCGTCGGAGATGGTGGTATATATGTTGGGGGTACTGGTTGGGTTCATGGAGCTTCGGGGGATTGTTTTGAACTGGAGTTGTGTGCAGAGGGAGGCATATGTCCAGGACATGGTGAGTGGTGGTCTAGTTGTGAGTGTGACTGAAGTGAGGCTGGTTATTCCAGAAGGTTTAGAGATGTAGTTTTTGGTTTCGGAGATGGTTTAGTAGAGCGTAGGGGGTATTGTAGGGGAAGAAGACGTTACTGCGGCTGTTGACGATGAAGTCGTGGGCGTTCTGTCTGGTTACGATGTGATGGGATGATGGGATGAGATGAGAATTTTGCTTCGCAATTCATGCTTTGTTTTGAGGCTCTGCGAGGTCAGTTAGTGTATGGTGCCTGTGTTATTTCATTAATGCAGTTGTAGCTGCATGTGATGGAATGTGTTGAGGCGTGGTTTTGGACTTCTATCTTCTCAGCACCTTACGAATCCGTTGATGTGGATGTTTCATGTCGTAGAGATACTCTCTTATGATGGGAATTTTTTCTAATTGCCTGGAGACGTGACGTCTTAAGTCGTGCTTGTGTAGCAGTAGCGTGAAGCTCTAAAACAGACGTATCGATGACAGTGGTTCATTTGAGGAGGTGTAATCTCATACTTGCAATGGATGAATGTGCATGATGGCAGTGTCTGCTCTGGCTATATCTCTAGCATTGTTGGTCAGTTTTCTCCTTCACGTTGTTGGCACTTCGGGAGGTAAATCAAGCTGGACCTGTCCACACCCTCTGAAGTCTTCACACAGCTCCTCCTCAAACCTTAACGTACGGCACCTCGTATGTTCGTTGTAAGCCTTGATATGTTATTGTACCGGTTGTTTCTCAGGGCATTTCAGTTTTGGACTACTTTCAGAGTGAGCCGGATTGTGTTTGTGCCGAGAAAACTATCGTCTCTGTAGCGATTTTCAAACAGTTTGAGAATTGTGCCAAGAGCACAGGGCGCCGTGATTACATGTCTTCAGGATGCTTGATAATGACGAACAAATATCTGATGCTTTAGCCATGAGGAAGGCCTAGTCTCGCATTTTATGTGATTCCGTTGGAGTAGTGATGTTTGTTTGTATGTGCTCAATATTTCTACACATGCGTGCAGTGAGACCATTCTTTATATTACCTGTACATTAACTGTTACCAGATATGCATCACAGTATACTGTGAGACGTTCTAATCTCACTTGTTCTGAGAAGGAATACTGGCGAGTGAGTTAAGTCATTACCCGCAAATTGCACCTCGGAGCGTCATGGCAGGACCTGTAAACGAAACTGCGCCTCAGAAGCAAGCCATTAAGCGCAGTGCAGAGGCTAACCCCGAGCCCACTCCACTTCCCAAACGCTCGCCTGATAATCTTGGGCTTAAACAACAGGCGCGGATTGTGAATGCACGTGCTAATGTTAGTATTGTGCGCTTTCCATGATTTCTTGATGGGTCGGACCCTGCACAGAGTGATGACTCTCTGCCGAGTCTTGTGTTCAGTGATGTTGCTTGCATCGTTGTTAATCCGGACTTCATCTTTACATTAACGAAAGTAAATATTTGCAGGTTGAGGACACTGGATCTGAAATTGCTTCAAAACAATTGCAGGTGTTTATCTCCCTATCGAAAACCTTTGTGTCCTTCGTCTTTGTATGGCACATCATTTGAGAGCAATTGTTGAAGGTTGCAAATGGCCTCGCTGGCGGATGGTATGCTTCTTTTGTAGCAACTAACTCGCTACAAGCTGCTTTGAGTTGTGCGGTACCTTTATTTTTTTTTCCCTTGGTCTTATTTTGAACTTTCTCGCTGAATTTTCAGGCCGATCTAAGCGCCAATGAAAAGCGTGCTCCATTTTCTGCAGTATTGCCTGCAGAGAATGAAAATCTTGTGGCAGTATGTCAAGCTGCAGACGCTGAGGTGAGTGGCGGGAAGATTACGGAACATGAAACTACTAGGGACTACTCCAAAGCGCATAATAGGGAAGGAGGAGCATTTGGGAAGGAAACTTTTCCGCAATCAGTGGATTTGCAGCCAGCTGCTGAGGTTGTTGCAGGTCTAGAAGGAGCTCAGAAGGTATATGAGGTGATGTGTAGTTGTCATTCACCGGTGCACTAATCTTTAGATTCGATGAATACTTTTTTGTGACGATGCCAAACTTTTCTTATTAAGAACTGGAATTAAGATTAAGTTATTCCTTGATGCTATTCGTTCAGCATGCTTCATAGAATATACGTATGTTTCGGTTTTTGCCTGTTTTTTGATGGAGAGCTATCTTCATGTGAACGAGACTGCGCAGAAACGAGACGTGCTAGCGGAAGTACTGGTAACTTTGTCCGAGCACTGCTCGGCCAGTCGAGCGAGGCTGGTAAGCCAGGTTACCGTTGAGCCTATGGTGAAGGAGACATCTCTCACAAGTCCACATGAGGAGGTGAAATCTATGGTTGACGATGTGTGGATTGAACCGCTGGCGAAAGAAGCTGCTCCGCGAGCTGCTGTAAGTTTACGAAGGATGCTTGTCTATGGTCGATTCTTGAAATCATGAGACTTTCCAGCTCTTATTGAATCACTATTTTCTCTTTTTTGACTAGTTACTTTATGCACCGCGCCTTCGTCTAGGATAATTGTGAGGTAGAATGAACGTTTCTCCCCTTAATAACAATACTAGTAATAATCACTGTGAACTTTCACGATTGAAATTGATGTGAAATATAATTCCCCTAAACAATCTCAGAGATGAGGAGCTTCAACACGATAATTTCAGATATTTTGCATAGGAGGAGGATCCATCGTTACAGTGTTAGTGGACATGGAATGGTGTGAGCCCCTTTCAGCCACCTCTATCAATTCCATCGTGGTTACAAGTAGGGACCTGTAGCATACAGTTATAACATCGCAAGTCAGATCAGTACGTCCCTCTGAGTTCTTCAATTGACCATTCGGGGATGATCGTGCAGGCTCGGTTAACTGAGCCGAAAACTGCAGAGGCAGTTTCAGAGATGAGATCTGATACCCTCACAACAGAAAATTCCGTCGAGGTTGTTCCCCTGCAGCCAGCCCTTGCCTAGAGCACAGCGTCTACATCATCCATGCCAATGCAAATCCCTGCCATCCATTGCTGCTTTCAAGCGTCGGCTCCATTGATTGTACATGTCCCTGCACGAGTTGTGGAAATTGTGAAAGTTCCACTACAATGGCCCAATTTTCTGGCCACTCACCTGAACAAAACAGTAAAATTTTGAAGGTCGGTTTGATGCACCACTAGGCAAGATCGTGAAGATGTATATCGTAGAAGCTTATTACCAGTTTTGAGATGGTTTGGTGGGTACATGCTTCAGTTGTTCAGGAGCTTTTGAATTGAGAGGATCCCTTTTGTTCAAGACTTTCGATACATTCAATTCAAATGAGGATTTGTTTGAGACTTGAAATAGTGTCATGTTTGTATAATGTGAATATTCCTTTCATGATTGTGCAAGGTAGAAGCGCTAAATATGCAAAACTATGCATTACAATTACTTAACATTACACCTAATTCGGTTTCAGGTCCCTTGTCTCTAAGTCACTTCTATCTAAAAATATCTAGGTCATTTTACTCTCTGCAATAACGCCAGGAAACATATTAAGTTGCAATTGCTCCAGTTCGACAACTTTACAAAGATAATGTACTTTCTGTAATTAATAAAGTGTTTTTTTTTTTTTATTATATTTTAAAAATAACTAATTTTTTCTGCATAGAAGTCGATTTTAACATAGTGATAAGATGCATTTATTAAATGTGTAAAATTAGTACTATTTATAATATCAAATAAAAAATTACATTAATATAATGTATGTGTATATATATATATATATATATATATATTTTATTTGATATATATATATATATAATAAAATAAACTAATAATTTACAAACATAATTTTTTGTAAGTTTATATACTATGTTTTTTTAAAAGTATTATATAATTTTTCATTGTAAACCATAAAATTCTATTTGAATTATTTGGAAAAATTAAAAATGAAATATTAATATTTAGAATGTAAAACTTGAAAATTTATGTATTGTCATAGAAAATTAGTAAATTAAATAATAATAATAATAATAATAATAATTAAAACCATAATTGTATATCTTACCATAATATTTAAAATAATTATTTTAAAACTGTTAATTAATATTCTGTAAGTATTATTTTCATCATTTTTATAGAATGATTTATATTATCCTGTTTTTTCTTTTAATTTTCTAAATTATATAGAAGACACTTAAATATACTTATAAATAAATTTGGGTATTTAAGGTGTAAAGTGTATAGAGATGTTTTAAAATAATAATAATTTAGTAACATATTTGAAAGCATCCTGTACTTAAATTTTATAATTTATTACAAAATATACTATACTTTAAGCTAAAATTTAAATATTTAAAATTAAATTTATTATTTTTTTATATAAAATCATAATATTTTAGATTAAGCTATTTAATAAATACCAAAAATAGAAATAGATAATACATAATATTTTTTAAAAACTAAATTTATCAAAATACAAGAATGTTTATCATATTTCAAAATATTGTGTCTTGTTATGGATTTTGAATATAAAGAGAAATTAACATATTTACAAAATCTAAATATAACAAGGTATTCTTAGTTAGTAGTTTAAGGGTTAGTAAGAGTATCAACCTTATTTGAAGAGCTAAAAGAATGAGCTATAAATTGGTGCACTTATAGATGACTTGATGCAAAATATTACAATAAAATTTGGATACAAAATTATGGTAGAAAAAAAAACTAAAAATAAAATCTGACTACTAGAAATTTACCATCAAAATTAGAAAAGAAGGTTATTGATATTGCAATAATTTGTTAGTCATTTCCTTCAATTATTAATTTTTATTATTTTTGAATTTAATGAACTTCTTTAAAACTAGTATATCTAGCAACATGTAAAATATAAATCTAACTTGATAATGTAAACAAGCACTATAGTTTATTTAAGTTTACTTCTATAAATTTAAAATTTGTTAAACATTTATGTAGGATTTTTAGAGTTATTGAGGATTAGATACAATTTATTTGCAATTCTTTATGGTTTTTTGAAATTTTTACGTATTTGATAGGATTTTTAAAAAAATAATGATATATATCTAGAATTTAATCAAACTTATTTAAGATTTTTGTAGAATTTGAAAGACTTTCTTAGGTTTTTTTTCAAGATTTGTTTAATATTTGTAAAGATTTGATTAGGATTTTAAAAATATTTTTAGATAGATAGGATTCAAGATTTAGAATTAATAAAGTTTAGAATTGCTTAGATTTAAGAATTTTTTAAATCAACATTATTAAAAAGAATGTTCCTATATATATATATTTAAATTTATACATAGTATTTTAGGCTTTAAATAAATTCCTTCTATAGTTAAATGTTCAATGTATTTTCAAAATATAAATTTTATAATATCACAATGTATATTTAAATATATGTAAAAATTTATATGTAATATAAGATAAATTTTAAAAAATAAAAAAATAAATTGATATATATTATTTTTATAATAAATCAGGATATAAATCATATTAAATCAAGGTGTTTTGACACTGGTTCACAATTGGTCTACTTTAGATATCATTTTTTAATTTTAAAAATAAAAATTTCTAAAACCTATTTTAAACTCTTTTTTGAAGATGTTATATCAATTATTTTATTTATTTTCTTTCAATTGCCTCATTTATGGCCATATAAAGTAAGTAAAAGCCCATTTTGCAAAAAAATAGTATTAGTATTTATTAATTTTACTATCTCTTTGACTATTATCTATACTTCTAAGGTAAATTTTTATTATATTTTTAATTAAATTCTTTTATAATATTATCCTTCTATTTTATTTTACCTAGTAGTTGTATTATAATATATAAGTGGCTTCTTTCCAATTTTTGTTTGTATTTTTTATGCATTAATTATAATTAAAAAATCATAGCAAAAATCATAGATGTTGGTAAAGACATCAGAAGCTTAGTTGAAAGCCATATTGGGATGAAACAACAACTATAAGAAGAGATAAAATTGCTCAAGAGGCATCAAAATATGACAACATTTTATATTATTTAAAGTGGTCATTGATAATATGGTGGAAATTTAAAAGAATGGTCACATAATTAATAAGGATTTTAAAAAATAATCCAAAAAATAATTCATAATTAAACTAAAAATTGGAATTAACCTAAGGATTAAAAGTTAATATTTCAAAATTTTAGAAATTCTTGTTATCACGGATATACATAGGTATTCTAGTAAATACCTATATGATTAGGTAGGAATAGATAAAAGAAGATAAAAGTAGATTAATTTCATAAGACCTTCTAGAGAAGCTTTCTATAAGCTTTATAGATGCTGCTTTGACTTTACATGTGTCTATAGTTGATTGATAGGTTAGAAACTTAGTCAACAAGTTAATCATGTGTTGATAGCTTGTGGAACAAGTTAACTATGTGGCACACATATAAAAAACTTGCCTTACAAGTTAAAATACATGTCTTGCAAAGTCAATACGTTTTGGAGGTCTTATAAGACATCGCCACATAGCTCCTAGTTAAGAGTATATATGGAGGCAAGAGTGAAGCCTTCTTCACTCTTGTCAATACCTTTCTAGTCGTTAGTCTTGTTTCAAGACTTTCTAATCTTCTTGTTTTTGGCAATAGCCATTCTAGTTTAATATTATATTACCTTTTGAGTGACTTTGTAATTCTCTTCTTTGATACAAGACTGTATTGAGAATTTTCTTTCTTCAAGATTCATGTCCTTGATAATTTGATAAGATTATTAACTTACTATTTTTATCTTGTTTTAGAAGTGAGTGGATTATTCCACTTCTATTGTTATATTTTGAAGATTGCGGAGTATCTATCTTTAAATAAAAAATTCTTATTTTTTAATATTGATCTTTTCTTTAAAGAGAGTGAATTATCCCTCTTTGTGGAAATTTTTATTAGAGGTTGCAAATTACTCTCATTTAATTTAACTTTTTGAATTTTTTTGAGTTGTCTATGAAAAGATAGAATATGGATGCTATTCTCAATAGAAGTGAGAATAAATTTGTAATTATTGCAGATCTTCTTGAGCTTGTTGATACTCTAAGAATAAAAATTTCACGTATTTTTAATGTGAATCATAGAGGTACCATGCCTACATCTATGAAAAAAGTTTAGAATCTGCGTTTAGAAGATGTGCAATTAAAAGAAGTAAGTAGATGAACCTTACAACTAAATCCAGAGAGTTTTGCTTCTACAAGCATGATAGGGACAATGATTAGTATGCTTGAGAAGTTTGATGGAATAAGATCAAAATTTTGAGGATTTTTGCAACAAATCAAGCTCTATCTAAAGTTTCATCTTTTCCAATATTCCAATGGATTTATTCAAGTCGGATTTACATGCACATTTCTATTAGGAAGTGCTCTCTCTTCATTTTCACCTTTAATAGAAAAGGATTTGTCACACCTTTATAATTTGAATTCATTCTTAGAAGTGTTTACGGCCATATTCAGAAAAAATGATTAAAAAAGAATAGCAAAGACTAAGCTCTTATTTTTATGACAAGGATCACAATTAGCTACCATATATGTTGCTAAATTCCAAAACCTTGCTTGTTACATGGACTGGAATGACAAAGCCCTTAATAATCAATTTTGATATGGATTGAGGGATAATATCAAAGACTTACTACTGACATTGCCCAAAGTAGAATCTTTGAAACAATTTATTGCTCAAGCCATTGCATGTGACAATCAATTATTTGAAAGACATCAAGAATAAAGATTTGGCTAGAGAAGAATAAATCAAATAATGACGGCAATTCCTAAGTCTTTAGAAACTTATTCATCAAGGCCATAATCAATGCAAATTGATACAATATATTTTAAATCCTTTATAGAGTAGGAAAATAGTCAACAATGTAAAGATGGCTTATGCTTATATTATAGAAAAGTTAAACATACTACTCAACATTGTCTAAAGAAGCAATACAATCACAAAATGAGAAGCATGGTTGCCAAAGAAGACAAGGTATTGGAAAATAAGTTTTTCCAACTACAATAGAAACCATGCAGTTGGAATCTTCCATAATTCCTAGTCAAGGTCCTATTATGTCATCAAATCCCTCACCTTATTTTACAATAGAAGTTTATTTAGGACCAAAAAACCAGAAAGTCTCAACTTTATTAGATTTAAGTGCCTCAGCCTATTTTATAGACAAAGATTTTGTCAAAAAATAAGAAATATCATTAGTCAAAAAAACTAAACTTATATATGTAGAAGTCATAAATGGTCATTTGTTATCTTTTAGAGATATTACACATGAGATTGTTCCTTTAGATGTAGCAATTAAAGATTGTAATAGAATACTAATATATATTGTAATAAGAGCTCTATTTAAT